TCTCATTAGGTCCTCAAGCTTCTTAATAGCAATTCAGAGAACCCTTACCTCATCTGGAATAACGGCACCAGGGCAGAGCTGTTGGAGTTTCTTGAATGTCAACAGGAGGGCATTATCAAAAGGGTGAGGATGTCCAGAGACCTCACACTGTGAAGTTCTTTATTTCCGCACCACTGAGTGAACTACAGAGCAAATTAAATGTGTGTTGTACAGCATGTTGAATAACTATCAGTGGCAAGTAGTGTTTGATTAATTTGAGGAGTATGAAAATGCCCACCATCAACTTTCTTAGCCAGAACAATTTTCAGTATCCTGAGTGAAAGGGATGTGATTTTCACTTTGGTTCATCGTGAATGAAGAATAGAGTGGGGGTTAGGATGCATATATTTCAGAATCTTGTAGAATGGATGCTATAACCTATTCAGGCTGTATTTCCACTGTCCACAAAGGCCAAATTCAGTTTTTCAGTATTCAGTAAAATAGCTACTCATATTTATGGACTTGATGAAGGAAAAGTTTGTGAAGGGAAAGTCTTTTGACATATCTGTCGACTGATGAAAGACTTCACAGTTTGTTGAACAGACGTAAAAGAAAAATGCATTTTCTATGTATTAAGTATTATCATTTGTATTCCTGATTTTATTTACCTCTTTTTTTAACTTTGAAAGGTATAAATGATAAATCTTTTTTCTTTCCCATTTCCTTAGAGTGAGTGTGATAAGAGCTTTGGCTCTGAGTTTGTGTTCAGTGAACATGGGAAGGAACTGATTGTGGGGGAGATTTTTGTGCGCGTCTACAATTTACAACCTACATTTCCTTTGGAGGTAAGTTGGATTTTTCAAACTATTAAAACTAGAAACTGGTATTTTTGGAAGTGGGATAGGTCAAAACAGCACAGGCTTGTCCATAGGCTGCTCAAAATGAGTGCTTGCACTGTAAAAGAAAATAAGGGAACTGATGCCTATAGGGGATTGGGGAAGGGCTGGGACCCCCAGCAAGTGATTGATGGTCCAGAAGGGGTGGGCATTTCTTATGTAGTCTTTTCTACACATCAGTCTGATTATTGGCTTCTCAATGTTTTAAGAATGGTAGATATTTATTTAATAAAGAGACTTCTTTTAATGAGGAATGCTTAATGAGTTTCAAGTTTCCTTTTAAAAGTGACCTGTTTATATATACATATTTCATTTAATTGCAAATAGAAATTATAATGCCAAATATAATTAAGTTAAATGATATGTGCAAATAAAAGTGACCATAAAAATAATTTTTAAAAGAAGATTGGAATTAAAGAAATATAAGTTAATTTGATACTTTAACACTTATTTTCAAGCCCAGAAGGTATATTTTTACCCCCAAGTATATTGTCTAGTAATGAAAAAAAGTATGAAAGACTCAAGTTTTTGTGAGGAAGGATTCAGTTCAGTGGCTATGTGATCTTAATGAATAGCACACACCTTCAATTCCCCATGGTCAGCCTAGGAGAACATTAATGAGAAAGAAATGATCTACTTAAAATTTGGTAGCGGATGACAGGTTAGGGTTAAACTGAAAAATTCAACTTAAAACTTAACTGAGGTCAGTTGCTAATAATTCTTGGGCACACAGGTCCTTTTGCGAACTCTTCCTCACTTTCAGGCTTTTCTTCTCCCTTCAGTTTCCTAAGGCCTTTGCTGCTAGTCTTCTGGACTACATTGGGTCCCAAGCACAGTATCTCCACACCTTGATGGCCATCACCCAGACTGGCAAGGTAGAGTCGGAGCAGCACGAGGAAAGGTTACGCTGGGCTGAAATGGCTCTTGAAGCGCTGCGAAATGTCATTAAGAACAATCCTGGTAAGTCAGAATGCAAGGGGTAAATTTAATGTTGAACCAGAATAATATAGCACTTGCAGTGTTGAGCTGGTTATGTGAAGTTCATGCAGCCAAGGCTGACATGATGTTCATGTTCCTGATGCTGACATGATGTTTAAAGGTGTCTTCCTCCTATAGGGTCAGAGACGGAATGCATAGGCCATTTTAAGCTGATATTTTCTCTGCTGAGGGTGCACGGGGCTGGCAAAGTTCAGCAGCTGGCGCTGGAGGTAAAGTCTAAATGCATCATCTTTCTCTGTCTAATCACTAAGAGATTAAAATGGTGTAAAACAATCTGAGTTATGCAGCATATTTGAAGTCCAGGCTATTTTTCCTGTAATGACTTGTGTTATTTACTTTGTAAACAGAACTGATCTAAATTATTTTTGAGTATTTAAAGGCTTTTTTTCCCCTCAAATATACACTGCCCCCTTCTAGAGACACTTATTACAAAGAACTTCCATTTAGTGTAAATTTTCCAAAGCTGTCCATTCTTCAGATCTCCTGAAATGGTGAAGTCAGGCATTGACCTTCTTTTTTTCATCCCCGTTCTTGGGGAAAAGTCAAAGATGAACTGGTGGTAAAGCAGAGTTTCCCTGATATTTTGTTTTTCATTGGAAGTTACTTTTGTGTTTGAGGGCAATTAAAATAAAATGAACCAGAAAAAACATTCTGTAAATAAAACTAAGCTCTGCACAAATGCCTTATACTGCAAATCTCCAGTCCGGCTCCTGGAGGGCATACTGTACATGTCTGCAGGTTTTTAGTTTAACTGGGCCTGAATCAGCTCGATATTTTATCAGAGGACCAGTTTGACACCCAGCTCTTCAGGTGCTAGTGCTTTAAAAAGCCAGAGATCCTGCAAACATCTTAACTCTCCAGGTTAAGGATAAAGAACTGCTGTTTTACAGCCATTTTGACCCGCAATCTCCATATATTAAGTCTTTTGCCTTTTTGTTTTTCATTGAAAGTGAGGATTCTACCTTTTTACGGTCAGAAAAATGTAAACTACGTTGATGTAAGGTGTCTATTTTTTTCATTTATCAGATATGCTGATAACACCTGAGATAATGAAATTAGAGTGCAAAGGCAGGTCACTCACCTCCCTAAAGCCTAGTGAAGCTGCTGTTTGTAAAGCATTCTCTGTAGCCTGTATGTTTAAGAGCTTTCATTAGTGCTTTTTTTAACACGTAGTGTAATATTACAGTGTGAACTATCTGCATAAATAAACTAAATAAACTATATTTTCTGAACTATGATTTTTTGAATCTGACTGCAAAGCACTGCAAATAGGATAAAAGGTTCCTCTCTCACCTGCTTCTAATCTGCTTTCAGGTGGTAAACATTGTGACAGCCAACCAGGAGTGTGTCAGTAATATTGCCGAGTCTTTGGTGCTCTCTAACCTTTTAGTTCTGCTGCATTCCCTGCCCTCAAGTAAGAAATTCATTGTAATTTGATTTTACTGATTAGTTACTGAAATCACAACTAATTTACAGTATTAGCTTTCAGTGTAGTGTGTATCAAAGCCTTAAATTAACACAGAAGTTGGCAAATAGTTTGTCCTCAAGAAGAATCTCATATTTGATTGAGAATAAGTCAAGAAATGTCAATCCAAAACACAACAGTGGTGTGGTGTTGGGGGTGACTCGTACATAAGAAAATATTCAGACAAATCATTTACAATTTATTTTACAAGCCTTGTACCAGTAGCAATGCATGTCACAAATTCTCGCAGAAATGACTGAGAGTGGTAGAAGTCTTACAAGACAGTGGTATCTGATGAAAAATCAGTGATGAATGTATAGTGTTTATTTTTCACTACATAGTCATACCTGTGGGGTAGTCAAGCCGTCTGGATTTTAGAGATGAAAATTACATTCAGAGTTTTATATTTGCTAAGATATGTATTTTCAGAAAACCACTCGGTTTTAAAACTTTTTCTCATGTTCATTTCAATTCCATTTCTGTTCTTTCCTTTCAGGCAGACAGCTAGTCCTGGAAACTCTCTATGCCTTGGTGTCAAACACAAAGATAATTAAAGAGGCTATGGCAAAGGGTAGGTGACAAGTGTGAATGAGCTCCTACTATACTTCACTGATCACTTATCTTCAGCACAGTTCACGCTGCAAACAGCCATGAAAAATTAAAATCTAGAGTCTGTTTTTTTTCCCATTAGGGGTGAATTACTGGTATTGGAAAATCAGCTTTTCACAGATTCAAATTTTTTATTCATTTTTATATTGTCCTTTTACTTTTTAGCTTTAATCTTCATGATTTTGGTAAACATTTCTGTACCCCTGGTAAAAGGGGGTTTTATATATGAGCCTCTAGTTCTGTCTGCTTTCGCATAAGACAACCAGTAGGCCCACTGAGATCATAGCAGATCATGTCAATTAATTAAAATAAGTATATCCAGTTAATTTGTGTATATATTTTGTAACTTTGTATTTTTGTATTCTTTGCAACATTATGAACTGTGGTTTTGAAGACGTTATTTCTAAGGATGGCAAGGCACTTAGTTGTACCATTTCAGTATAATAATTTCTTCTATTTACTTCTAGTGTGTAGTCTAAAGGACTACATTCAGCGTACTACTAGTTACTGAAATTTGGAATATTTGCACAGTAATGTACTGACATTGAAAGGAACAAATTATATTGTTTCACATCATATTGATCTCTTCACCTTTAAAACTTGTTTTGTATTTGTGTTTTTTAGCGTGCAAGATGCAGTCAAGTGCTTTGATATTTTCGATAACATGTGTGCTGTGGGTTTGGGTTTCAGGTGCTTTGATCTACCTGCTGGACCTGTTCTGCAATTCCACGCATCCACAGGTTCGCTCCCAGACTGCCGATCTGTTTGCAAAAATGACCTCAGACAAGCTCGTCGGGCCCAAGGTAAGGTTGTCATTTAAGAGGCAGCTCTTTTTGTTTCACCGTGTTTAAAAAAGAAACTTAAAGGTAGAACCACTTCAGTAATAGTTCAGGTGGGTAGCGGCGTCAGCATGCGTAGGCTGCAAAGGAACAAGTAATAGGTTTATTCCATGCTGAAAAAAGAAGAAGAAAGAAAACACAACATTTCAGCCGTGGAGCCTTCTTCAAGTGTGAGCTCTTCTTTTTTTCAGCATGGAATAAAACTATTACTTATTCCACTTCAATAATACCATCAAAACCTCAGAACTACAAATACAATACAGGTCTGCATAGTTTTTAGTGCATGAGTATTTCAAACTGAAAACAAGAAGCACTTCTTTACACAAAAGTTACTCGTTCTGTGAGACGCAGCCCAACTATGGCAGACTCCAATTAATTAGCAACTTAAAGACCAAACAAGCTAGCAGGGCCGAAAAGACATCCACTTATTTGCAAGTTTTTGCAGAACATTCAAATAATACTTAACTAACCATCCCTTTCCTCCATTTCAAGTTATTGTTTGGGGAGTATTGTTTTTTTTTTAGCAATATTTCTTCGTTTCTAGCCATTTCTATTGAGATGAAGGATAAGTCATTTGAAATGCAGGTGTGTGAGTTTCTGTTTGTATTATTATTGGCCGCTCTGACGATGAGAATAAGTTGACCTTTGGCCTTTCACTGCTGTCGCTTCTCCTGAGCCCCCAGTGTTCCTCTGTCTGTAGGTTCGGCTCACGCTGCTGAAGTTCCTGCCTGGGGTCTTCATGGATGCAATGAGAGACAACTCCGAGGCTGCTGTGCACATCTTTGAAGGGACTCACGAGAACCCTGAGCTCATCTGGAACGACAACTCCAGAGAGAAAGTGTCCACAACTGTCAGAGAAATGATGCTCGCGTATGTATGACTCCAGTGAGAGAGGAGCTATTAAAGATGAAACCTCATTGCCGATCTTCCATTTTGAAATACACCTGCTAGAGCCTGTCAGGTTCTCTAAATATCATTTCTGATAAAAAATACTCCCTACTCTGTTTAAAAGTACAAGAAGTACTGTTGGTTTAATACGGTAGTATTGTGTTTTTAGGAATAAGATGGGTGATGGAGCAGATGTTGCAGCTAGGGCTTAGTACTGTGTAAAATGCACATTTTATATATTTTCCAAGATCATCTTCAAATTCTTCAATTATTCCATTTATTTTCTTGAGGGTCTTGAGCTCCTTGTTTGCAGTACATTTGCAGTTGTGCAATTGAGAATTGAGTTGTGGGTTGTTGTTAGTATTTCTTATTATTTTCCTCTACACCTCCTGTGGGCTTTAGTTTGTCTCTCAGATCAATTTGACCTGCAGTAAATAATTACTGAAGGGCCATTTAATATGTACTATTACAATATGTTTTTTTTTTCTTTTTTGTATCTTAAAGGCACTTTAAGCAACAAAGGGATAATCCTGATGTAAACTGGAGGGTGAGTAGAAAATGTCAGCATTTAAAAATCCCCCCTTTGTTTTAATATTCATAACAACAGAAAATCTTACTGACTGAACTCCCCCTTTCAATGCATATTTCCAAAACAATGCCCAACGTCCGAGGATATTGTACTGTAGAAGATGCCGTATTTTGGATGAGACATTCAACCAAGTCCCATACTCACTACTCCATAGCAATACTTTATACAGTTTCTCTGTGACCCTGTTTGTAAGTATAGTTTATAAGTATTACTAGGAAATGGAAGAACTTGGTCTCTTAGCAACCATACAGAGTTTGAACAAGTTATAAGGGAGTTTGATCGGTCCTGTTCAGTTTGTGATCATATGAGAGGGATTCCACTAGGGCACGTTAGTCACAGCGGGTATTATTTCCAGTTGCCTGAAGACTTCACGGTGGCCTATGGGGCAGCTCAGGGCGAGCTGGCGGTTGGAGGCGTCTTCCTGAGAATCTTCATCGCTCAGCCAGGCTGGGTTCTGCGGAAGCCCAGAGAGTTCCTGGTGGCGCTACTGGAGACCCTGACAGAGCTGCTGGAGAAAAACAACCCCAACGTGAGTGACTGCCTCTTATCCAGCCTCTCTTTAATCCGGTCAGCTTTTTTATTTTTAACCACGGCAACAGAATTTGAGACCTTAGAGGATTTAGTACATTAAAAAAAAAGGTTCTGGGTTTTCATGTCACATCAAGGTCCAGTTGAAGTGCAGCCATGCGGACTGGCACATGAAGAATCTTGACATCCCTGGGGTTAGTCCCTGTGACACAGCGGGGTGGGGGTTAATGTAGTGAAAGGCATAACAAAACCACATGTTGTGGAACCAGCAATATTTGTTGCAGTTTAAATACCTCTCAGTACACATACAAAATACCTTTCAAACAAGAAAAGCCATCATATCTGAAGAAGGTCATCAAAATTGTGTGTTAATTCGCTCCCATCTTCGTTTGGTCAGGTATAGACTTTCCATTTAACTACCTTGTCGTGTTTTCACAGGGCGAATCCTTGGAGACTGTTACTACAGCCACTGTGTGTCTCTTCAGCTCTCAGGCACAGCTGGCAGACCAGGTGCCACCCCTGGGCCACCTGCCCAAGATTCTGCAGGGCCTCACTCACAAGAACAGTGCCATTCCAAAGAGTTCCATCCGGGTCATTCACGTGCTCTCAGACAATGAGGTACAGTACTTGCTTGTTGTGGTCAGTGTACTAGCTCAGTTTTCAAATGAGCTACTGAAGTGTTATTACATAGATGTTATGTATGACCCTCTGATGTAACAGTTAGAAATGTGAGCAACATTCCATTTTTCGTTATTTACTGAAAAGATTTTAAAATGTCAGATTACATTATTCTTTCAGTTTTGCTTCTTTTTATTCATTCGAACATATACATAACATATGGCATATACTGCATACGTGACATTAACATTGGGACTTGAAGGACAGAATCCAGAAAGCCTTTTTAATTTGTCAACTGCTGAATACCTTTGCAAAGGGTTCAGTTAATCCAATTAAGCTAATACGTAGCTCAATTAGGCCATTACGAATATAGACGTAATGAAAACACACAGCCTCATTTCCATTATTATTTTCTTTTATTTGGATTAAATCAAAGGAGGAGATCCAGAACCTAATGTTGTTGTTTTTTTGCCTTAGTTGGGTTGCCTGCCAATAGAAAAAAGAAACTGAACTTTTTTTTTCAGCTCATCTTTATTTCATATTGTTCTAACAGCTGTGTGTCCGAGCAATGGCATCGCTGGAGACCATCGGGCCTTTAATGAGTGGAATGAAGATCAGGTCAGACATGGCTGGCGTGGCGTGTGAGGCACTCAACCGCATGTTCCAAAAAGAGCAAACTGACCTTGTAGCTCAGGTATGGTTCTTCTTAGAAGACTTCATTGAATGAGCACTGCTTTAGTTAGGGGCACTGTTAAATACCTTTTCTATGCATGTCTGTGTTTGCAAAACATAGTTTCAATTTTTTTTAATCAGTGCTGGCTCTAGGCCCCAGCAAAGTAAGCATGCGCTTGGGTAGTCACGTTTCCAGGGGTGGCATTCCAGTCATCGTTATTTTTGTTCCGGAAACATCCACCAAAATGTGGAAAAATACGATACTCAAAGAGATGCCTGCCATGTTCAGTTTGAATATATTTGTGGCTGCGATCTTAAGATGTACCTGTGTGAGTATTGTCTTTGTAGAGGCATATTGCTTTTAAATATCCCTATGTTCATTTCATACTGTATGATAACTTATTAATCAAATTAATTTCTCAGCAAAAAAATGTACCTGTTGATATTTTCAGACACTGCAAGTTGTCTTGCATGTGTCAAACTACAACAAGAAAAGACTTTAAGTACCTGATTCATAGTCACTGGAAATTTCCAATAATGACTAACATCAGTATCTTTAAGGAAAATTGTATCCCCCCCCCCCCAGTTTTATCCTCGAATACGGGGTGGGAGAATTTGTTTAAACTCCACTTCCATCACTAGCTAAAAGATTTTAAAAATACAAAGCAGATCTTTTCAAGAATTTCACAAATAAAGATGACAGATCACCATTATTATTAGGTTAGCACTGTGCAGTTCTATTGTAAATTCTATTGTACATTAAATTTTATAATTTGTCATAATATTTTGAATCAAGTTAATGTGGTCAGCAGGGTTATGCAGAATATAACCACAGACATTGACATAGTAAGATTTTTTTTTCACCCCAAGTGTTGCTATTGCTTTACAAATTCTTAACATTACCAGTTTCAGTAACTTGTAGTGACCACAGTTTTTCAAAACTGAAACGAATAAATTATTTGAGATCCGCCATGTCCCAGAATCATTTGTCAGGATTAGCACTAATATCAGTGGAAAGCACCACAGGAAAAAAAATAGATTTAATTAAAGTATTAAAACACTATGCAAGTTTTAAAAGTAAGAAAAATCCAATTCATATGATAACTTCTTTTAAGAGATTAGGCACAAAGAAAGGCGCTAATGTTTTTCTTTGTTACAGTGTGTATATAAATAGTTTAACCCAAAATGTTTTAAATTGTGAAAGAATTCATACACCGGTAGGAAATTGTTTTATTTTTCCTACTAAAGTTTTTCATTTATTACATTTGAAGCTAAAATAATTACAAAGCACAGGCATGGGTAAAAAACAACCAAAAATTCATAAAGAAGTCGACTATAAAATTGTTTGCTTGGGCAGGCAGAGCTAGCCTGGACCTGGCCCTGTTTAGAATGTAATTGTTGTGCCTTATGGGTATATCTATATGCTGTAAATCTATACACATCTGTCTTGAACCACAAGCAGGTCTGCTACTACTAGTAGCAATGTTCATCTTTCCAGTTCGGAAAGTAAAGGTGACTGTGTTCATGCTTCATACAGAACAAAGACATTCTCATATATTGTAGTATTTCTGCATCTGACGTGACTTCAGCCTCTTTGTGTTTACCCTGCCTTACCGATACAAAGGCTGTATATGTTCCTGATTTATTTGTCATCTCTTCTTGTATTCGCTGCTCAGGCACTGAAGGTGGATTTGGTCCCCTACCTCTTGAGGCTGCTGGAAGGGGTTGGTCTGGAAACGCTGGAAAACCCTGCAGCCACCAAGGCGCAGATTGTAAAAGCACTGAAATCGATGACGCGCAGTCTTCAGTACGGCGATCAGGTACGCCCCCCTCGGCTGTTTGTGCATGCAGACTTCGTAGAACACACGACCAGTATTCAAGTCACTCGGGGAGGGCAGAGACAGGCTGCAAGGAGCCTCTTACAGAGAAGAACTGCAAGTCCATTGTTCTGGTTTAGACTTCAGAGAGTTGGCAAGTTGCCTTACAGGAATAATGTGGTATCTGTTAGCAGGGTTTTGCAGTTCAAATAACCCCTGGCAATGTTTATCACTTTCTTTTTTCTAGGTTAATGAAATTCTCTCTCGTTCTAATGTCTGGAGTGCCTTCAAAGATCAGAAACATGACTTATTCATCTCAGAGTCACAGACTGCAGGGTACCTCACAGGTTGGTACCTAACTTTCTTTGCTCCAGGACGTTAACTGTGAAGTTCAATTTATCTTTAGTGACATACTGATTATTCTGGGAACCTAATGCTTATACAGTATATATACTGTAGATCTTCTGAATGACCACTTGAACACATGCACATACCTCCTTATTTGTTAGAATACGTTGATTGGTTGCCAATTACAGTACATCAATGGACTGGAAATCCAGTGTATGACTAATATTTGACATTAGTTATGTCCTGAACAGCTACCTTATGTGAGTTAATATGATATGTCTTTTATTGTGTAATAATCATATAGCAATAAGAGAAATGCAGTAAAAACAATGTACATTGAGAGTGCTGTACTACCTAATAGAAATGAAGTAACCTTTCAAGAAGGAACAAGTAAAAGGTTTATTTCATGCTGAAAAGAGAAGAAAGAAAACACACCTGTTTTGCTGTGGAGCCTTCTTCTTTGGTCCTTCTTTCTCTTCAGGGGTCTCCACACCCGAAGAAGGCTCCACAGCCGAAACGGTGTGTTTTCTTTCTTCTTTTCAGCATGGAATAAACCTGTTACTTGTTCCTTTGCAGCCTGCGTATGTTGACGCAGCTCCCCACCTGAACTGCTTCAACCGTATAAGAAACTTACGGAAACTGTGGCAGGAGATGTACCGTATGCACCTAGCTGAAGTAGATCACGTTCAACTATTCATATTTTGGACAGAATTCAAATATTTTCTGAAGCCGTGCTACTAATTCTGGAATTTGTGCCGGTTGCCCCTTTCCCTCTTAGTTGGACACTGCTTCTCCTCTTCCTTCGCCTCTGGCATTCCTTCCTTTTTCCTTTTCTCTTCAGGCGTCTCCGCACCTTCCCTTCTGAGTGGTAGTAGCCCTCATCACCTCAGAAGTGGGCTCTAGACCTCTTCTCCCAGGGCTTCTTGCTTACTTCTCTCTAGCTCTGAAGCAGGTAGAACACAGTGTGTTCTGGTGTTTTCCTTTATCACATGCTGTTTTACTGTTGCCTTTCTCTTTGCGTATTGTGTCACAATATACGTCCGATGAATATCATCTTCATCTTAATACATTATGAGGGAACATGCAGTAGATATCCAGCTCGGTTTCCTTTATTCTTAGACATACTTGCTGAAAAGGTCATAAAATTTTACTTTCCAGCCTCCTTATGCCATTTAAAAGAACGCTCCACCTGAACTTGAAAAATTCACCAGCGAAGATCTTGCCGACACTGAGTCTGCGCTTAGCAAATAGAAACTTTGTTTTTGTTGAAGGTCACAGAGCAGAGCGGAAATATGTCCACAGCTGTGCATGCTTTTTAACAGAGTGGAACCATTAAAAACATTTCACAAATGGGTGGAAAAAAAACTATGCAAAATGCTTTGTAATCTTTTAATGTCTGCTTTAGGAGTAACTGTAGATGGAGACAGTTTTTCACCACCACCCCAGCCTCTTAAAGAGTGTCGGGGGATTTTTTAAATACATTTTTATAATTGTTTGCAACACCTCTGTGATATTTGAGAACTTGACTTTATTCATTTCTTTTTTTTTATGTTCAACTGCAGGTCCCGGAGTTGCTGGCTATCTTACCGCTGGGACAGGATCCACAGTCCTATCTAGTGTGCCCCCCCCTGTTGACAATGACGTTGGAGACTTGGGCTGAAAGGCTTCAGTCTTTCGAGCTTGACAGCGACCTGTGGAACATGAAGTGGAGACTTCCCCAGTCCATAGGATTCTGTTCAAAGCGTTGTTGCCTTTTTTTGTTTTTTTTTTGGTCACAGTGACACAAGCATAATTTACTTTTCTACGAATATATTTTTTATTTGGGAGAAAGGAGAGAAAACAAAAAGATCAAGGAAGTCATTCCTGTCCTCTCGACCTTGTCAGTTTTGATACACAGCCCCCCTGCCCCTTGAAGAAAACGCCAAGCAAGATGTGTCAAGCAGAGGCAAGCATTTGTCTTGCCCTACTTAACGTGTTATCGGTTTACAAGACTGTGAATCTGATTTATAAATTGTTTTCCTAATTTTTATAATGTTGTTTTACAGTGCTAAAGATAAAAAGAAAACTCGACTGTGGTGTTTTATTACAGTCTACTTGTACTGCTCTAGAAACAAAAAACCTGTCCACCACCTCCACCATCAGTTGTGGATCTCGCTGTGTGCAGCACTGTCTCTGAAATCTAGTTGTAATATTGACTGTTCATTTGATCAAGTCCTGCACTTCTCTGCTTCTGCTGTACCTCTTCCCAAACCTTCTTTCATATTTTTTTCCCCCCGGAGTACAAAAAGCACTAGATATTTCTACTCACAGTATAACTGCCTTTACAAACTTATATGAGCTTCTGCAAAAAAGAGGAGGAACAATAATATTGACTCGGATTTAAAATATTATGTAAAAGACTAGTGCGTTTGTGAAATGTTCTATATAATATGCCGTATATAAACTTTCTATATTGAATGTACATTAAGAAGAAAAAAAATCAGCCACTCCTGTACATAAAATTTTAAGAATAAACAAAGGGAATACACATTATCGTGTTCTGTGTCTTAACATTTGGCCTGCATTTATTACGCTTCAGTGTTTTCAGCCACTAGCCTGAATTCTTCTCAAGGAGTCTTTAAGTTAGCCAACTAACTTAATTTCACTGTGATCATCATTCAAGAGACAATGACATTTGAATAGCCAGTTTTTTCACAAGAACATGTTACCTTTTAATCAGTGATTGTCTTGTAACAGAGACACTTATTAAAGGATCACCCATATGCAAAAATAAAGCTCCAGGTATCCTATTACACTGTATAACACTTAAAGCAATTTTATGCATTATAGAAAAAGGTCAGATATGATCGTTTTGCATTAATAGATGATGGTGAGTAAAGTAATGTTAAGTAAAGTAAATGTTAGCAAACAATACATGACCTTAGGATCACTTTTTTATAATTTCTTATGAATACATTTGTTATGTTTTTGATGTTTGCAAATTATAACTGTTATGTGAAAGCTGCTTTTTCCTAGTAAGGGTCACAGCAAACCAGGATTCTATCCCAGAAGGAAAGAAAGGAAGTGTGGCCTACATTCTGGATGAGACACCAGTCACTGAGAACACGTACACAAGCACACAGGGACAATGTAGATTCAATTTATAGATGCTTCTCTGGAGCACAATATCTCATGAACACAGAGAACGTATTCCAACTCTACATGGCAGGAACCCTGATTGATTCAAAATCAAATCTAGGACACGTGCTTTTTATAAAGATTACATGTTGCAGAAATTCATGCACGTCAAATATAGCGGAGCGGTGACTCTGTGGCTAAGGATCTGCGCCAGTGGCTGGAAGGTTGCTGGTTCGTATCCCGAGGCCGGCAGAGGAATCCTACTCCGTTGGGCCCCTGAGCAAGGCCCTTAACCCCAACTGCTCCAGGGGCGCCATATAAATGGCTGACCCTGCACTCTGACCCCAAGCCTCTCTCCCAGTCTGTGTGTCTCATGGAGAGCAAGCTGGGATTTCATTTATCTACTGTTCCCTTCCTGATGGCTTTGTTTGGTAGACAGTTTGGTACCATATGTAACTTATAAACATATTATTAACATATAAACAAATAATTTACATCACTACAATTTTAATACTTTTGCATTACAAAAATAAAAACTTGATTTCTTGGCTTAAGGCTCCCCAATCTCTTGTCCATATGTCCTTTTATACACCTTAAACATTACTTCTGTTAAACGTCTCTTTCTACTGTACATATAATATATAACAATTCAAAATACTTGTCCACAAATACTAAAATAATTTTTCTAGCAGCAAACCCGTTTGTTCCCGTTTTGCTCAGCTTTTTGTCAACGATGTCGTTTTAAACAGGTCAACATTTACAGTATCTCTTTGCACCCAGTAGCATTCCAGTTCAAGTGTGAACCAGTGCGTGGGGTAGTGTTGTGTGGCTTTGTTGTGATTTGGTTAATTTTGCTCTTTGCTAGCAGCGCTGGCCTCACGTCAGTGACTCTACTGCAGGTGACAGTAGCGTGTGGAACTGGGATCCTTGTCACTGTTCCTGTTGGACTGAAAACGTCCCTCTATTCCGCTCCTTTTCAAATAAACTGCGTAGTTTTGCATAGTTACTGTAGATAGAAATAGCTCTTTAGCTACTTATGTTTATCTGAGGTATAAAACACTATTCAAATACCAGTAAAACGCTTTACTATTGCAGTCGTATATGTTTTTTGTCGGAAAATCCTGCTTAAAGAAAATCTTCTCAATAGGAATCCTCTCATTTGTACGACGTTAAATTTAAAGCTGAAAACATCTCTATTGATGTGCTTTTTAAATCAACTGCACTGTTTTGAACAAGGTTCTGTAGATACAAGAGTTCGTTTGCTAAACACACGCTTATCTGAGTAATAAAACACTATTCAAACACCAGTAAAACAGGTTTACTATTGCAATCGAATTATTTGTGTCAGAAAACCCTGTAAAGAACCTCTTCTCGATAGGTATCCTCTAATTTGCACTACGTAAAACTTAAGTCCATGTTGCTTATAAACAAGTATAATCAATTAAAACAGCATTGCGAGTCGCCAAATCCAATGCAATACCTGCTATTGCACACCCACTGCGAAAGGAAAGACAATCTCACGTGCTACTGTTTGGAGGGAGCAGCTTCTCCTCCAGCTGGGCATGACGTCAGACAGAGCGACGCGAGATACCGGTTCTGGGCAGGAAGTCCGGCGCCGGACAAGGAGGTGGAGGTTTGGCGCCAATCAGTGGCAAATCGAAAATACCCTGTGTTCTTTCTTTAGGGAAATTGTTATGATGTATCTATCTCAACGGATGACTTGTTTTGAGAAGACGCTCCCTTTTTTCTTTTCTTTTCGTTGTTGAGTGTGAAACTCAAGACGGCGATACTAGCCGAACACTGGATTGTCAACCCGGACTAAAAACGCGAAACGCTGAAATACGAGCTCGCAGGATCTTGTATTGTAACTCCTGGTTTCTTTTATGCACTTGCTTGTGGACACGGTGTGTTGAACCGGGACGTGGTAAGTTCAGCATTACTGAATTATTTCCGCACATCGCTGACTTCACGTGTACAGCTGTTTGAAAAATAGACCGGTTGATATTTGCTGTTTGAGCTTGTCCGCTTTGAAATTGATGAACATTGATCGCATTGAGCAAGTACCGCAAGTTGTCAGTAAGTCGTGGCTTTGCTCAGCTGTAGTTCCGTCATGTGATCGTATTGTTATGTTCCGTTCCTTTTCCCACAGTGAATTTTGGTTGGTTTCTTATTTTGGTGTGATGAAATGCTGTTGAACAAATGGATTATTCCAACAAATGGAATAATCCATTTGTTGTGGATTATTCTCTATTACATTTTATTATTGTTACACCTGTATTTAATTAACTGTTTTTCAAGAGAAGATGAGAGTCCGATGACTGGTGGGCTCTTATTCATTAGAACAAAGACGAAACAAGAGCAATCAGTTTTAGACGTATTCAGTTCCATAATATTACAATTATTACCCCTACATTGCCTTGTGTGTTAACTGTTCTGAAAATGTTCTCAAACTGTAACATCAAGGTGCAGTTATGCTGACCCTATTTTTAATGTAACTGAGTGCAGGAAAAACAATGATGTACCTTATGCGGCAGGAGTTTCAGTCTTGCGATATGATCGTTTTTAATAATAATAATTGCTTACACTTGACACTCCACTCAAAACTCCACTCTGGACACTCCACTCAAAGCGCTTTACAGGTAATGGGGATCCCCTCCACCACCACCGATGTGCATCATCCACGGCAGCCATAGTGCGCCAGAACGCTCACCACACATCAGCTATCAGTGGGGAGGAGAGCAGAGTAATGAAGCCAATTCATAGATGGGGATTATAAGGGGGCCATGATTGCTAAGGGCCAATGGGAAGCCGGGG